AAATTTTAAAATAAAATCTTTGACCTTATATATAAAATTATTATAGATCTATTTTTTATATAATTTTTAGAAAAAACAATAAAAAAAATTACCAAAGATACATAAATTTAAAAATATTATATAACTATAAAAAAACTTTCAATTATAATTTTAAACTCACCCTAAATTATATTAGTAATTGTTATAAAGGTATAAATAAAAACACCCAAGTAAAGTAGAAAGAGAGCTCGAGAGTTCGTGAAACTTTTAAACATTAATTATTATATCAACTTCTTCAAAAAGTAAGTATTTCTCCACCCACTGATAGCCCTATTAAATTATGTTAAAATGAACATATGCTTGTAGTAGAAAAGGGGAAAAAAGGAGGTTTAACAAGGAAAGGGGAGACCCAAAAGGAAGAGCTTGTTACATAGCTAGGTTTTTTTCCAACCATGTACAAGAGATAGAAAGAGGAGGGTGGGGGAAACAGTGACAAAAGACCACCGTTCCCCTAACTTTTTCACGTTATTAGGGTTTTGCTTTTCTTTTTTTTTTTTTTAGGGTGAGTACTAAGTACCAATATATACCTAATGGACAATTATACATACACCCAAACAATCAACACCCATTTTAACACTTAAGGCTAAAATGAGGAAGGGTAAATTTGTAATTTTACTATTCATAAGCCTTGGGTGTTGAGATGGATGTTGATTGTTTGGGTGTATGTATAATTATTCATACCTAATATATGTACATTAAGGTTGAATTTTCTGATAAATATGGTATTTTAGATTATATTTGATGTTTATGTTTAAGGGTTAACACTTAAAAAAATAATTTATTTAAATATATTAGACTAATGCACCCTTAAAATCATTCAATGAGGAAATTAATCTCAAGATTCATGAAAATTAATTTAAAAACATCTTAACAATAAAACAAATTAATATATATTTATATATCTAATATTTGTATGTATTTAAACTATTACAATAAGTATTTTATTTGTATTTTAAAAAAAATAATAGATGTAAAAATTGTTTTATAACCTACTATAATTTAAATTGTATAACATGCTACTTGTGATGGATGGAGTATAGGCTTCTATACCTGTGTGCATGCTTTCCCGAGTATAAAATCAAAATATTCATTTCATGCGTAAATTTAAGATAATAACAGTTGCAAGCATGTAATTCTAGATTTAGGTCTTCTATTTTGTATGAACAAGCATGTAATTCTAGATTCAGGTCTTCTATTTTGTATGAACTATAAAGACGGTATTTGTAAGTCTTCCATTCACTTAAATATGTGATATGTATTTTATATGAAAGTCTTCTATTAGCTTTAAGCATGTATTATGAAATATTAAATGATGTCTTAATTTGTATTGATAATTTGAATTTAATGGGTACAACTATACCTGTCAAGTAGTATTCCTGCAACCATCAGGGGTGGGAACCAGATTAACCAATAATATATTGTAAAGTTCAAGTCAAGCATAAATATATATAAATATCTTACTCATCTGAAAGTTGCTCAGTTCAACCTAGCCTGTTCATCCTAATCAACATCAATGTGGCAGTCCAATTCTGATATTCCCTCATTGGTCTTCACACTTATATATTTCTAAAGGTATTAAAAATGAAAGTTGACACTTAAAAGAAGTTATTGAATTAGTCAAGTTTAGAACCTATTATTGGCTTAAATCGAAGAAATGGCAGGACTTATCAATTGATCTGTGGTGCACATCACCATTGAAACCATTGAATAATTGAGATTATTGCTTAAGTTTAAAGTTAGCAAAAATTTAATGAATGGACCGAAAATACAACAAGTTTTCAAATTTTGAGGATTAAAACAGAAATGTTTTAAGATCTGTGACTAAATTCAGAGCTTTATGCAATAATTGAGGGATCAAAATAGAGGTTTAGCCAAATTACTATATCATGGTTCCACGTACACGTGGTCAATGCCACCAAAATTTGTGCCCACTCGCTAGACACCAAAGATTCCTCCCTCTTTGTTTTTTCTTGGATGAAGTGATTAATAAATTTTAGTGGACATTTATATCTTAGAATTTTTTTTTTCTTTTAGATAATTTTTTTTTAAAATAATTTATTTTTTTATTTATATTATCTTTTTAAAAAATGAAAATAAATGGAGATATTTTATGATAGATGGGTAAAAAAAAGTAAGAGATAATAATAATGTTAAAGTTAAAAATATACATATTTATCTTTTATAATATATAAAAGAATAACAATTACTCCCTTTATTCATTTTTTGTAGAATTAATTTGAGTTTTTAGCTTTTAAAAAATAAGTTTTAATGAAAATTTAATGTTTTATATACTAAATGATAATTGAAAATTTATTTGATTAAATAAAAATAATTAACAAGAATTTCATATAAAGAAAAAAAGTGTAGTTGTTATTCATATAGATTATTAAATTTAATCTAACATTTATGTAAAATAAACCAAAAAATTAAAATTAAGACTACTAAAAATGGAAGTAATTTATGACAAATTTTTTAAAACAAATTACCATTGTGAAAGGAAGAGAGTAGAAGAACAGGCATTTATACCCCAAGGGGATTAAACAAGTTGAGAGAAAAGTACATAGACATGTGGAAGAAGTTGAAAAAAGAAGGGTAGGTCCAAAAATACGGTACTGAAGTGTCTTTCTTCATTAAAAGAAGGTTTGGTTGTCCACATGTATCTAACGGCCCTCCCCCTATATATTCTCTTCTCCAAGTTTTCCTCGTGTGTTCTTGTTGTCCTTCACACCGGTATATCAACATTGAGCTTCTTCTACCACGCGGCCAAGCCCCAGGTTAGAATTCCTAGTTTGTTCTTCTATTAATTTGTTATTTGATTCTAGCTCAATCAAAGTCGATTCCTCTCTTTCACTGTTATTTCTTCACTTCAATCTTTTTTAGTTTACATGTTATAATGGATTTAATTTTTCTTTGCGATCTCATTCATAATGTGTTAATCTGGTGTCCACAGAATAATTTTAATTAACTTATAGAAAAACACTTAGAAGAAAGAACAGGTTAAATATGTGTATATGTATATTTTGATTGCCATGGTTAAATTGATTAATTTAGTTAATTTTAATTTGATAACCTCTGTAATGATATGGGTTCTTTATAGAAATTATCAACCACACTACAGCTTAGACTAATTAATGAATTTCCTATACTTTCTTTTTCCCCTAGTTCTTTGTATTAGTTTGTTCTTGATGTAAAGAAATTATGAAGTCCTAATTAGAATAATGTTTTAGAAATTAGAATATTCTTTTTTGTGAAAGAAATTCCAATTTAGTTTTCCATTTTGCACACAAATTTAGTTAATACTTTTAATACTTCATATTTTACTTATTCATATTTCACTCTTATTTTAAGAAGACAATAACAATATGTTCATTTAAGTAGTTGTTAATTAGAGATATATATAAATTTTTACTAATTAATTATTACATTATTATTCTATATATTGAAAAAAAGTAGGGTAACTAAAATTAAACAAGAAGTGAGGTATAATATGTGAATAGTAATTGAAAGATTTTTCTAGTAGTTTTACTAAATTAGATATATTTTTTAATTTATTCATATGTTATCTTTAAAGTATCTAAAAGTATTATTAACCAACGAGGTATCGAATTAAGCGGTAAGCGATTTGTTACAACTTAAGTAAGATCTCGAGTTCGAGAGCTTGTGTACGCAGCAGCCTCCACTGGGAGACTTACCCATCATTTCTAGGTGTGCGACATGAATCAGATCCAAATTAATCGGGACAAAACCCCAGATACCGACGGAAACCAAAAAAAATCTAAAAGCATTAGCCAAAGTTTCTGTAAAATTGAAAGGGACGTCGACAAAAGCACTTCCAGGTGGTATTTTATTTTTTTTTTAATTGGGTTATTTAGTAGTTTATGGTGACCCACATGAATTTACCACTTTAACGTAGGAGGACCCGCCATCCACCCAGAATTAAAACATGTACCTAACGGTATGGCTGAATAAAGAATGAAGTGCAGGTAAGGGATTCTGTCCTTATTTTATAGAATCTAATCAGTACACTTTTTTTTTTAAATATATTGTATAATATATTTATTAAAATATTATTATTT